AGTATTGGCACCATTTCAGCCTCAAAGGCCATGTTTTTAGCACTAAACATACCTACCAAACCTTACCTTCCTTTTCTTCTCTTTTTAACAGTAGAGTTGTTTACAGCGTTTCAGGTTTACAGCCAGATTCTTGTCCATTGTAGGTTATTACGTGATACTGAATATCTTCAGTACCAACAGTTCCCTGGGCTATACAGTAGGTCCTTGCTGTTTATTTTATATAAAGTGTATCTGTTAATCCCCAATTCCTAATTTATCTTTCCTCCCTTCCATACTTTTCTTTATAGTACTCATTACCAAGTATCTACTCATTGTTTACTTACTGTATTGTCTTCCTCTCATTACAGTGTAACTGTCACGGATTGGGGGCGGGGAGTGGGGGTGGGGTTGTCATTTGTTTCCTTCAGTGCTTTGTTTCCAGGGCCTAAAACTGTGCCTGGTACTTGGTGGGTGTCTGTGTTGAATAAATCAGTTAATAAATATTTCAAACTGTCCTGGAACCAACCTGTCTTACCTGAAAATAGAACAAGCGCTTCTATGAAGGATGAAAATAGTATAAGATGCCACTTTGGAGACCTCTCAGCTGATCACCAACACCAGCTGCAATTTCACTCTTATCTCTCATCCCCTCTTTGACTACCCAGTTTACAACTACCTATGGGGGTGAGGAGAAGAGAAATGAGTGGCGATTAATATGCTTATTGGAGATTTACTGGAAAGTTCACTCTTTCAGTCAAAGTTCTGGAGAAACTAATTAATTCAAGAAGTTGATGCAAATGGAAGATCATGGACTTTCCTGGTGGTCCAGTAGTTAAGAATTCACCTGCCAATGCAGAGGACATGGGTTCGATCCCTGGTCCAGGAAGATCCCATATGCCATGGAGCAACAAAGTCCCCATGCTCTACAGCCCGTGCTCTGCAACAAGAGAAACCACGGCAATGAGAAGCCCCCAAATGCCACAACTAGAGAAAGCTGGGGCCCAACAGCAAAGACCCAGTGCAACCAAAGATAAATAAATAAATAAACAAAATAAACAAAATAAACAGAAGATCACTTCAAAGTGCGCTGGAGGCTTTCACATAAATGCTGCCACACTTGTCTCCAGTGGAAATTCCCAAGAACAATCAACAAAGGGCTATGAGCCAAGGAACCATTAACACAAGTTCTCATGTACAAGTTACTGGCAGTAGGAACTATGTTTAACTGACCACTCCCAAAAGGAATTTTTGAGGTTCTATTCTGAAAAGGAATATACTATTTGCCCTTGTATTGATCAAAATTATTTATCTGCAGGCACTCCAAATAACAGGACTTGTCACCCAAGAAGAGAGAAAAATCATGCACATTTGTGGCCACCTGTTAAGGGGTGTTCCCTGAGAATAATAACAAACATACACACACTGCACTGTACAATTTATAAACTATTATGTTTTATCTACCTTTGTTTACTAAATGGGGCATATTCTTAATGTGGGAGTCACAACTCAAACGCTCAGAAGATTCAGAGGGCAGGCCAAGTGAATAAACACAGAGAGCAGTCTATGTCCTTTTCAGAAGAAGTACTTGGCACTACCCCAGGGTGCTATGTGGGAACACTGCGCCAGATCTTCATATTTTTTAGGCACAGCCCCAAATCAAAATATTTTCTAAAAAAATTCTCAATTCTAGAAACTCTACAAGTCACATAAAGCCTGTCTGAGGCTTCCTGGGAACAGCCAGTTTGGTGGGTTTTTTTTTTTTTTTAATAGCTTTATTTATTTTTTATTTAAAAAAAGTTTTTGGGGAAAAACAAAAAAAGTTTTGGCTGTGCCACATGGAATGTGGGATCTTAGTTTCCCGACCGGGATTCGAACCTGCATGGGAAGTGCGGGGTCTTAACCACTAGACCACCAGGGAAGTCTCAACAGCCAGTTTATAATCTGTGTGTTTCCACGGCAGACTGGCCCTCTCCCTGGATGCTACAAACACCCGGAGATGTATCAGCTGTCCCCCACCTCCACCTGCAGAGGTGTGCCTCGAAATGCCCACTACATTCCACACCCCTTCCTATCTGCCCTCTGCCACCCAGTGCCTCACCAACACTGTCCGTCTCGACACCATGTGACTCTCCTACCACTTGCTTATCACTACACCAGCCCCAGACTCCTGAGTTACCCTTCATTCCCATGCATCTTGTTTTGTGGCCATCTCCCTTCCCCCAACTCCTGGAGTCTCTGATACTTATGGCCTATCTTCTGCAAAACCTCTCATTCCCTCAATCTCTTCTCTGAACAGTCTTACCCTAACTCAACCCAGCTAACCCCTGAAGAGAGGCTTCTCTTGTGTCCTTGCAAGTGGGCACTGCTTCTACACCATTCTCCCTCCACACCCCAGTTATGAACCTTGTCATTGGAGTAAATCATATCCCACCCTGTGCTTCATTTGCTGACCCAGCTCATCCCCACCTTGTTTCTTCGTTGATTTTAGCTCCCTGTCACTCCCACTGTGACTCTTATCACCATTCTTGGTGATTTCTGTATCTAGACAGGTGCTCCTCCAACCATCCTGGCCTCTTGGTTCCTAGACCTCCTCTCCTCCAGTGATCTTGTCCTCCCCAGAGCCGCTCCCTTCAGAACTTCAGCTTCATGGGTCTCCCTCACTGCCGAGCGTAGTTTATCTTCCTAGTTCATTCTTTTCAAAACCTCAGGTCCAATAACTCACTGGTCCTACCACCTTTCCACTACCCCTCAGCCCCTCATATCTTCACATAGATTGTTCCTTGACCAACCATTATGATCACCCGGTTACACACTCCCCCTTCCTCCATTATATTCATCTGGAGGTAACTGTGCAGTTGTGTGTGGCTGGAGAAACACCTCACTCTTAGTGGACGACTTTGCTTCCTGAGAAAAATCAAAGCAGTCAGAAGGTGGGCAGAGGGATAAAAACTATTTCTTGTCTCCAAATAAGCTGTTGAAAGCTCTCATACAAACAGAACTTCAGATAAGCAAGGGCATTAGTTTACCCAACCAGATAGGAATACTTCTGAAAGGTCAGGAGGTCCAGCCAGCTACAGCAGCTGGGAAAACCACTGGGAACAAGCAGAAAAGATCTCTGTAGCCAGACCCAGCTTTGTCAATTACTAATGTGTGGCCTTAGGCAAGATTTGTATCTCCAACGCCAAACCAAGTTGTTTCAAGGATTAAATAATGCATAAGTGCTCAAAGCAAGCAATAGATGTTATCCCCAAACTCAATTTTGATAAAAATTGCAGGCCAGGTAACTGGAAGGTATGGGTTTCCCTGATGACTCAGATGGTAAAGAATCTAGCCTACAATGCAGTAGCCCCGGGTTTGATCCCTGGGTTGGGAAGATCCCCTGGAGAAGGGAATGGCTACCCACTTCAGTATCCTTGCCTGGAGAATTCCACGTACTGAGGAGTATATCTAAAAAGAGTCCAAAAGGGCTGACAAATTCTAGTTCAGATCACAAGAATGATCAACACGGGCATTCCTAATTCCCTGGAGCTGAATCTCTCCCCACAGGCCCTTAACTCACTTTTTCCTCTCTGCCTTGGGCACAGGGAAAATAAGTCTTCAGAAGTCACCACAGGTGATGACTTGGTATACAAACACCAATGCTTTCTCTTTCCATCCAAAATGCTGGCCTGTAAAGTCACCTGGTTCCTGTCTGCTTTCCCCACCTGGCCTCCTCTTCCAATCTCCCACCTCCCCCTCACAACACACCCCTGCTCCAATAGCCCTGGCAGTCTTTTCCTCAAATACCACCAAGCTCATTCCAGCCTCAAGGTCTCTGTACTCCACTACTTCCAACTGGACAATCATCACTGAGGCCTCTGTGTCGCTGCCACTTGTTCCTTCTTCAAGTTAGAGCCCAGCTGTCACTGTCCTCAGGGCGACCTCCGCTGAGACCATGAGCTAAAGTGGCCCCCATCATCCCTGTTTGTCTGCTTCTTCCTGTTCAATTACGTCTTAGTAATTTAATACCGTGGTAAGTGCTCTTTATTTAAATGCTTACTCCCTGTCTCTGTCTATCCCACTAGAGTATATCAGCTAAGTGCAAGGACATGGCTTGTCTGAGTCACAAATGGTATCACAGTTCCCAGCACTGCCCCCTGACACATGGCAGGAGCTCAAGAAGTTTTGCTGAATCAACGAATTCTTCTTTCAGGAGGATTATTTTCAAAATCTGCTTGTGCTTGTCTGAGGAAGTAAAGTTAAACCAACACTTGTTCAAAAAGATCTTTCAGGCCGAACTTCCGTAGAGTTTAGAGGTTTAAACTGGGTCTTACCCTCCACCAACCTGTAAGGACGAATTCAAGCCCAGCTTCTCAACGCCAATATTCCTAAGCCAAGAGGCGCTCCATCCCCGCCCCTTGCACCCCGTGCAAGTTTTCCCTCCCAACATATTTGCTGCTCTTTTCCTTTGAATATCACTGAGAAACACCTTTGTTCTGGGAGGCGCTCTAATGCAACTGAACCCAGAAAGCTGTCTCAGGAGGCTGCGGTCCAACATCCAAAAACATAGGGTGCAGGCTTCTTCCCAGAGGTCCCCTAACCCAAGCCCTGTCCTTTGGGGCTGGCCCCCCACCTCGGGCTTTCTTGGGCTTTTTTTTCGCTGGCAGGAAGAGGCCGGTCTTCGATTCGGTCCCTCACCTCCTTCCGGACACAGTAAAGGCCACTGCCACTCCTTCTTGGTGAACAGCCCTAGCCAGTCTCCTCCCCCCTCTACAGGAAACTTTTTCCAGCCCGCACCCGTCCCCGCTCCCGAGGGCTCCCAAATCCCTTTCTCAAGGTTCAATCCAGCAGGGCTGGCTCCACTACACCCCCCTAAGCTTCACCCAATCGCCCCCAAACTTCCTCCCTCTCCAATTCCCCCTGCTCAGACCTCGCCTCGGCCCTCCTCGTTCCCCAACTTAGCCACTCCACCCTGCCCCTAACGCCCCGCCTTCGGCCTCTCGACCCTCCACAACCCCCAGGACACCCGCTCGGGCCCTCACCGTGGACGCCACGTTCTTCGTCGGCCGCCCCAGCCCCGGAGAGGAGCAGCGATGCCAGCAGGGCGAGGAGCACCCCGCACCGCCTCGGCTCAGAGAGCTGCGCCATGACGGACTCCGCCCGACAGCCCAGGGGAGAGGCCTCCAGCCTCTGGTCGTTGGGGTCTCGCGAGCAGGTGCGGGAAGACCCTCGCTGCGCACGCGCACTGGAGGGCCTTGTGTTCAGGTGCGGGCGCTCGTAGCGGTCTGCGGGGCGCTTCTCTGCCCTCGCCACACAGGAAATCTCCAGGAAGCCCTTTCTCGGTCTTTCGGTGTGCGGGTACTCTGCCTCCTGTGCCCACTATGATTTCCTCTGCTCCTCACTCGCCCCGGACTCCCTCTACCCTTCAGAACCCCACCACACCCCCAGACCCTCGGTGGGCGCCAGAGGTAATGGCGGCCGCCTCGAAGCAGCTGTCGAAGGTGGAAGGCCAAGTAGAGGGCGGGCGCACCTGGTGAGGCGGGACGCGTAGAGCGCAGGCGCAGGGAGCCTGCACCTGAGCGGCCGTGCTCCTCCCTAGGCGCACGTAAGCCCGCCCAGGCGCTGAGGTAAGGGCGGGGCTTATGTTGGCCCCGCCCCGCATGAGGCCTCGCCCGGGGCGGTACGCGCAGGATGAGCCCTAGGGCTCTTGCTGCCCGTGGGCATCGGCTTGTTGACCGTGTCCGAGCACCTTCGCTCTTGAACTGGGCCTCTGGGAAACGAGGGTGCAGGCGTGCTCTTACTGGACACCTGTGGGTTTTTTGCCCAGCTTGCCTCAACCTTCCGATGAGGGCAAGGGATTTCTTCTTTCCAAATTCCAACGTTCACTGAGTGCCTCCCCAGGGCTGACCAGTCTCCGCATTACCAGACAGGAACAGTGCCGCGGAGTGATGACGGACGCACAGGACAACGTGATTATGGATGAGACGGGGCAAACACAGGCTAAATGATCTGAGGCTGCGTGGCGGAAGACCTGGGAACCCAGACAGGTTCCCTGTTCAATCTGAGAGAGCGCCAGAGAGGGCTCTCAGAGGAGATTACAGACCCATGAGTGAACAAGAGGCCCAGACTCTGCCTTCGCGGTTTCCCGTACTGAGATGAAGACAGATAATTAACCAGAGACAGATAGGTGTCAGGGGAGTGTTGGGGAAGCACAGGCAGAGTAATCAGACCTGAAAGGAGGGAAACCCAGAGAAGGCACCTGACTAGCTTCGGGGCTATGGGGGGCTTCCTGAAAGAGGCATGTGTGAGCTGGATCTCAAAAGGAGGATGAAATAGGGCAAGCATAGGAGTAGAGTGTAGCTGATGAATAATTAAAATAAATATATTGTTAAAATCCCATGACAGTGCTATGAAGGAAAGGAACCGGCAGCTGGGATGGAAAATAACAGTGGAGGAGGTGATTTTAGATATGAACCCTGGAGGATAAGAAGAGCTGATGGACAAACATTCTCAGCAAACAGCAAATGCAAAAGTCCTGAAGCAAGAAAGATGTCAATGTGTTACAGAAGCCAGGGCCACACCCACTACTTGGCTTCCCTCCTGACATAATAGTATCTGAAGAGTCTTAACTGAGTTAACTAAGTGGTGTTTACCTTAAACAATTAAAATTTTATGCCTGCCATATGCTTTAATCTTGCAGTGAGGCCCTGGGACTCAAGGCAAAGAGTGTGAATGTGAGGTCCAAGATCTCTTAAGCACCTGAACCCAGTTCCCCACCACATCCCACTAAACCCAGGTTTATGCTGGAGGACAGAGAGGACTGTGGTGGGAGGTGAGGCTGGAGAGGAGACACAGGCCTGTTCATTCATTCATACTTTCTTTGAGCACCCACTATGAACCAGGTACTGTTGTAAATGCTAGAGAAGTTACAACAGTGAACAAAGCAAAATGACCTGTTGGAACTCACTTTCTACTATTGAGAACAGTGATATAACTAGCATATCTGACACTGAGACTGAGCCCCCTATCCTGAGTCCCCCTGAGTTTATGGTTAACCTCTTTATCCAAAACTTTATTCCCTTTCTTGTCCTGCCCCTGTGCCCTTCAGGATTGAAGAGTATCAAAGAAAAAGGGAATTGAAACTGAGCAGGACCCTGTTTCTTATTTGTAGAAAAAAGCTTTGGTCTCGTAGGCCTTCCTGTGTTCCAAAGAGTCAACTCAAAAGTTACTAATTAGGGAAGTAAGGGAATGGAAACAAAGGAAACAGGCAAGAAACAACCTGTTCAGTGATAAAACAGAGTCCTAGTTCCTGCTCAAGGGATATATGTAACAATCTGACGCATGTCTTTAAGTTTTGTTTGCAGAAACTAAGACCCCCCACCCAGGTGGAAGACAGTGACTAAATGCTGACCAGAGGCATGTAGACCCCAGACTGGTTGGAACCAGAAGGTTGATGATTAAGATTTCTGAAACACCACCCAGTTACCCCACCAACCAATCAGAAAAAAGTCTATGAACTACAACCCTTACCCCAAATGTTACCTTTAAAACCCCTTCCCTGAAAGCCTTCAGCAAGATGTCTTTTGAGTTGCTCCTTCTCCCTGCATACATACATGCATGCTCAGCCACTTCCGATTCTTTTCCACCCCATGGACTGTAGCCCTCCAGCCTCCTCTGTCCATGGGATTTCCCAGGCAGGAATACTGGAGTGGGTTGGCATTTCCTTCTCCAGGGGGTCTTCCTGACCCAGGGATTGAACCTGTGTCTCCTGCATTGGCAGGTGGATTCTTTACCACTGAGCCACCTGGAAAGCCTCTCCTTGCTTCAGTTCAGGTCAGTTCAGTTCAGTCACTCAGTCGTGTCCGACTCTTTGTGACCCCATGAACCGCAGCACGCCAGACCTCCCTGTCCATCACCAACTCCCAGAGTCCACCCAAACCCATGTCCATCGAGTCAGTGATGCCATCCAACCATCTCATCCTCTGTTGTCCCCTTCTCCTCCTGCCCTCAATCTTTCCCAGCATCAGGGTCTTTTCAAATGAGTCAGCTCTTTGAATCAGGTGGCCAAAGTATTGGAGTTTCAGCTTCAACATCAGTCCTTCCAATGAACACCCAGGACTGATCTCCTTTAGGATGGACTGGTTGGATCTCCTTGCAGTCCAAGGGACGCTCAAGAGTCTTCTCCAACACCACAGTTCAAAAGCATCAATTCTTCGGTGCTCAGCTTTCTTTATAGCCCAACTGTCACATCCATACATGACTACTGGAAAAATCATAGCCTTGACTAGACAGACCTTTGTTGGCAAAGTAATGTCTCTGCTTTTTAATATGCTGTCTAGGTTGATCATAACTTTCCTTCCAAGGAGTAAGCGTCTTTTAATTTCATGACTGCAATCATCATCTGCAGTGATTTTGGAGCCCATAAAAATAAAGGCAGTCACTGTTTCCACTGTTTCCCCATCTATTTACCATGAAGTGATGGGACCGGATGCCATGATCTTAGTTTTCTGAATGTTGAGTTTTAAGCCAACTTTTTCACTCTCCTCTTTCACTTTCATCAAGAGGCTCTTTAGTTCTTCACTTTCTGCCATGAGGGTGGTGTCATCTGCATATCTGAGGTTATCTCCTTGCTTGCTGTCCTGCAAATAAATGCTGCATTTTACCACAACCTAGTGTCAGTAAATTGGCTTTGCTGTGTGGCAGGCCAATGAACCTACATTCAGTTCTGTAACAGCCCCTGGGGTGGATAATTTTTAATACCTCCTCCACTCTACCAAAAAATTATTTTCAGTAATAATCATGTAAGTATCATTATTTTATTTGTTCTTTAATTTTAAAGTTAATAATCAAAAATTAATAAATTTCCATTTAAAAGATATTACTCAAATTCAAGAAAATATTTCATGTATGAATGAAAGTTTGTACTTATCAAATAAAAATATTATGTCTTACAGTTCATACCCTGACTCACTCTTTTGAATTTTTAAACACAAAAACTCCAAAAGAACATGTAGAATGACAATAGTTTCTCCATCTTTACAATCATTGTGCTATCATTTAAATTTCTAATGTATTTAAATGCAAGACTGTATAGAGTCACAGAAATTGGAGACTCAAACTGTGACTGATACAAGGCCAAATGCTTCCAAATTGTTATGAACATATTTTCAAAATGAGCACACATAGCTCAGTCTATATATGTCAGAGGTCAACAGTATACATTAGGGTTCTCCATATTAACTTTCCTTTAGACCACTGTGGCAAACAGCCCCCTATAATCCCCTCCACTTAGGTGTAAGCAGGGCCTGGGTGGGACTTGCTTCTAACCAATAGAATATGGCAAAGGAGGTTTACGTTACGTTATGTAAGACTGTCTCCATGGACTGAGAGACTGTCCATGGCTGGCTCTGAAAGAAAGAAGCCGCCACATTGTGAGAGGATTGACGGAGAAGACCACATGGTAAGGGATTATAGGTGGCCTCTGGGAGTCGAGAGCCATTCCCACTGATAGCCAGCTAGAAAATGAAGACCACAGCCCCACAGCTTCAAATAGATGGAAACGCATCTTTTTCTCAGTGGAGTCTCTGATGAGACGGCAGCACTGGCTGACCCCTGGATTCCTGCCTGGGGAGGCCCTGGAGAGAAGGCCCAGCTAAGCCATAACTGGACTGGATCCACAGAAACCATGAGATAATAAACAACTGTTTTCTGTTTGTTTGCTTGTTTTATTTATTTTTGGCTGCACTGGTCTTCATTGCTGCATGGGCTTTTCTGTAGTTGAGGTGACTGGGGGCTACGCTCTACTTGCAGGGCACAGGCTTCTCACTGCGGTGGCCTCCCTTTTTGCAGAGCATGGGCTCTAGGGCATGTGGGCTTCAGTAGTTGCAGCGCATGGGCTCAGTAGCTGTGGCTCCCAGGTTCTAGCGCACACGCTCAGTAGTTGAGGTGCATGGGCTCAGCTGCTCTGCGGCACGTGGGATCTTCCCAGACCAGGAATCGAACCATGTCTCCTGCATTGGTAGGCAGATTCTTTACCACTGAGCCAACAAGTGTTGTTTTAAGCCACAGAATTTGTGGTAATTTATTCAGAGCAATAAAATATTTACACATACAATATTTACTAAAGGATAAGAGTAATAAAAATATCT